GAAAGGAGACCCAGAAGGCTGGGTGGGTGCTGGGCTTGTATTCTTACTCAGCTTTGCTAAGGAGGGAAAACAAGTGTATCTAACTGCTGCTGCACAGAACTTCCTGTTTTCTATGAAAATCCTCTCGAGCTATTGGAGGATCCCCACCCCGCTGGATCTGCAAAGGTTCAGAGCCCCAAGAAATATTAAGTCATCTAGCTCTGTGGACTCTACCTATCACATCCAGGACAGCCGGTGGCATTTCCCTTCTGTTTGGTAATTGCCAGAGAAGTTATCGCTGATGTCTTCAGCACTATCAGGCAGCTCGCACAGGGTCAGCATGGGCTCTTTTAAGACAGAACTTGGCAAGGCTGGTAGAAACCACCCTTCCTGGCCTCGCGGGCATAGAAGAAGTCATCTGAGCTTCAGGACTCTTTCAGTTAGACTTGAGAATGCACTTCAGGAATACCCTACTTTTTTGTGGGGTGAGCATACTCCTGGGTCCCCAGTGCTGTGAAGCCAGAGTGTGTCTATGTCCACGGTGCACATGCAGCAAAGGCCTTCCCAGGTGCCTCCCTCCTTCCAGGGAAGAGAGCTTGAGCAAAAGGACTGGAGCATCACAAGGTCTGACAGTGTTGGTACTCTCATGAGGCACACAGCCAGAGCATCACTTTCTGAATAACTTGGCTTTTTGTGCATAGGGGATCAGGAGAAGATGGCAGATCCTGGCCAGGAATGTTCCCAGAAGAGGTAATAGCTAGAGACAGAGTGGCAGAGTGAAGGGGCCTCTAGCTCGGCTTGGCACAGACACAGATTTGAACCCTATCTCTGCCACCCAACAGTTAAGTGGCCTGAGCAAACCACTGACCTTTGCTAAGCCTCAGTTTCCTCACCTGTGAAATGGCTATAATAATATACTTTCAAACACTGTTGTATGATTTAAATGTAATAGCATAGGTAAAAGTTCCTAGAAAGTAGCAATTATGCAATAAATAACTACAATTGTTATCGCGGCTTCATAGATTTTAAACAAGTATGGCAGTTTAACCAGGTGTCACTGGTCTAGGCCATTCCGGGTCTGCCGTGTGGAGCGAGATGGGCCATATTGGAGACTACAGCCAACAGAGGCAAAGGCTTCGGCGAGAGGATGAAGGTTCTCACAACGTATCTTGTCTATCAACTATGCTGGCTTCAGAGCCCATCCTCCCAGTGTGGAACAGAAGATCTAGAAAATGCAAATATGTTTTATAAAGGCTTTGTCCAGAATCAGGGCAGAAGCCTTACCTTGGAGAGGTGGGAACAGGATAGAGGGAGAGAATGATCCTTGGCAAGGCTGAACAGAGCCGTGGTACTGAGGCTGGATGCTGTTCTTCTCTCACCCTAGACATTAACTACGATCTGATCTGTGGACGAGCAGCCCTGACCTCTGGGAGCTGACCTCATACTGCCAGCAAGGTCTTCACTGTCCTGGCACTCTAGGCTGGGTCTTGCTGAGCTCCGGTTAAGCACAAACAATCTCACACATCGTCAGCCTCAGACCAGGCCACTCAGGTTATGATGGATGGGGATAAAACAAGGCCATTCTGTAATCATGTCTGAACACCGACAAAATACAAACATGTCCAAGCCACAAAACGGCCAAATATCCCCCCATCCTGGCCATGTTGAGTGACTGCTGTTTCTTTATCAAGAACAGCTTTAGCCTCACGTCAGTCTTCTCATCTAGATAATAAGAATTATCAACATACTCAGTCATAGAATCATCCCTACTCCCTAATAGCACCTAGTCAAGAGCAAAGCATTGCTTCCTTAAGCCTTGCCCCACCGCATCACGTGAAACATGCCCAGATCCTATTCAAGTCCTTTCCAACACCCTCTCAGGGAGACTCTCCATGATTGCTTATGGTGTAGTTCTCCCTAGCTGCAGAAAGTCCAACTTGTTCAAATACAGGGTCCTGCTAGTGCCTTCTCACTGGAGGGCACTGACACCACGAAAGACCCTAAGAGTACAGAAAATAAGAAGTGTAATGTAACACAATAAAACCATTGTACAAGCCAGTGGGTGAGGGCCAATTTCATTCCCTGGCTTCCAGAAGTCATGCATGCATATGTGCAATTGATACATATGTTTCTTTTTGTATGAAGAAGTGAAGAATCAAGGATATAGCCAAGTTAAATAGAAAAAGCCACTAAAATGAATTACAAATTTCAACTTCAGGTGGTTAATTCTATCTAGCTAACTTGTTTCCCAAAGCCATTGATCATCCTAAGATGACTGTACACTCACCACAAAAACCTATACCTCTTCTTGGCACCTTGACTGGGTCCCAGTGGGAAGCACTGGAAGCTGTGATGTCCCCACCACTACAGTCAGCCTGGGAGCTGGTGAAGCCTGAACCCAGGAAAGGTGTTGGTGAGATCTTAACAGTCTTGGGTGGCAGCCTGCATTTGCTGCAGTCAGAAATCAATGCTTTGGAAGCTGGATGCTTTTCCTGTATGTATTTTCTTTTTCTTTTTTTTTTTTTTTGAGACATGGTCTCACAATATCATCCAGGTTGGAGTGCAGTGGTGTAATCATGGCTTATTGTATACTCAGAGTACCTGGGACCACAGGTGTGCACCACCATGCCAGGCTGATTTTTGGTGGTGGTAGTGGTGTAGAGATGGAGTCTTACCATGTTTCCCAGGCTGCTCTTGAACTCCTTGCCTCAAGCATTTCTCCTGCCTCGGCCTCCTAAAGTGCTGGGATTACGGATGTGAGCCACCACGTCTGGCCGCTGTATTTCCAATATTGTTTTCTGTTGTTCTTCATAATTGTTTCTTAAGATATTTTAGAAATGCTAGCATGTCTCAGCTTTAGGAAGAAAGACCAAAAGGAAGCACTTGGTCCCTGCCTTGTTCAGAGTTTTAAAGACAGAGCAGCACATCCTCGGGGGCTGTGAGGATGGGTGACAGGGAGCTGGAGTGCCCTGAGGGGGGCAGGAGAAACTCACTGCCACACAATGGGAGCTACTTGGCTATACTAGGGATCTTCTAAGAGTATTTCTCTTCTAAACTTCAGAGAGTACTGCGCTTTAAGGGAAAGCGTTGCTTTATTGGACATAAGCAGGTTGAGCCAGGGTTGAGAAGGTAAACCAAAGTAAGAATGGAAGTGCAAAGCACAAATAAATGAAGAGAAAGGCTGGGGCTGAGAACAGTCTCCAGCGAGTATGGAATGGCCATTAAGGCAGCCAGAGAGGGCTTCTGCAGTCGGCTGCTGGTAGCAGCAGACACACGCTGCGGCAGTCTCAGTGAACAGCGCCCTCTGGAGCACGATGCCAGCAGTGCCCTCTGGAGCACAATGCCAGCAGTGCCCTCTGGAGTAGTGATTTCTGGGACCCCAAAGGCCTTGCAGTCTCATCTCAGGCACGGATGCAAAGTCTCTTAAAGGGGTTGTTGGATTTAAACTCATAGTAACTCTAGGAGGCTGGGAACTGAAGCTCAGAGAAGTTAAGCAATGTGCCCAAGGTCACAAAGCAGGAAGCCAAGATTAGAAGATTAGAAGCAAAGATTAGAAGAATCTAGACCTTTCCAACTGACAAGTCTTTGCTTTTAAGCCCTAAAGCATATGTAACACAGTTGGTAAACAATGTAGAGGGAAAGTAAATATTTATTCAGCATCAACTTACTCTGTGCCAGGAATGGTTTTCCACACATCTCCTTGCATTGTGTGAGTGATCACATAAGAGGGTGCGAGCCAGCAAGGGTCCAAACCTTTTTAGATAGTGAGCATAAAAGGATCGGGAAGGGACAGGTTTCCAGTGTTTTGCAGAATCTACAAAAGCAGCTCAAGAGGAGGAAGGAGAGGGCTCAGTGGAGAGGGTACCCAGTACCCTGGGTTGGATCTGAGGGTGCGTGTTGGAGGATAAGGCCATAGGCCCTGAGGTCATGAGAGGGGCCTGGTAGAGCCAGGCAGGGCTCAGAAATAGTTAGGATATCAACAGAATTAAGAATCAGCTGTTCAAATAGCTGAAGGTGTGCCGTCGAGCATTGTGCTTTTTTGGTAAACGTCTATGGATTATCTTGGAGTACATGACCTGAAGTTGTGGAAGTGACATTTTACACTTAGGGACATCTGTAGACCTCTACAAGGTGCTGTTACTTCTACAGGCAGAAGTTTGGTGTGATGGCAATGTCTCCTGTGGGAAGAGGAGAGGAGGTGCCCCCCGACCCACCACCTGGTGGGCAAAGAGAACCTGCCAGTGACGATGAGCCAGCCCTGTGCATTCACTGCGCTAACAGAGGGCAGAGCTTGACCGTGGAGTCAGTGCTGAGGTCACATCCAGGAAGCAGACTGGGGATACAACGGCAAAAAGACACGTTGGAGCCCGCCCTGCCTCCAACCACAGAGGCTGGAGCAAGTCGTGTAACCTCTCTGGGCCTGCATCACCTGCTGTTTCCTGGGCTGGGAACACCTGGCGTTCTACTCTCCCCCATGCCACCCTCCCCCCAGCTCCTTGCTGACTGCTTGACTTCAAGTTAAATGTCATTTCTCAGAAAGACATTTAAATGTCAGTTTCTTAAAGAAGGAAGAAGATCCCTCTCCTCATTTAAATCAAAATTCCTCTCCGTGCAATATTTGATTGTATGCTTTCCTTTTATTTGTGGTATAAACAGCAATTTTAACGGATAGATTTGCTTTTGTGCTGTCTCATCCACAGCTGTGTCCCCAGCGCCTGCCTACCCCAGCACCAGGCAGAGAACAGAGGCTCAACAGGTATCTGTCAAGGAAATAAACAAATACAGGAAGGTGTGAATGACTCAAAGTGCTTGATTTTTGAAAGGGGCTGTGGAGAGGGCAATGCCAGCCTAATAGCACTCTCTGATGCTGGTGGTGGGACTCAATATCTGTAAAACCTGTATGGGCAGATGACTGGCTCCCACAACCTTTGCCTAAGCAGCTCCGCATAACCAAATGCTCACCCAGCATTCTTGTAGCCTGGGGCGTCCAATAGTTACTTCTTGAAAATCAAGCCACTCACCTCTGTCGGAAGAGGTTCAGGAGACAATTTTCAAAACTTCATGTGTAAGTAGATCTTGGAGTGACCAGCAAGAGTTGCTTGCTCTGGGATGCCAGATGTAGGGCTCAGAACTTGTCACGCTATCTCTGCCAGGACCCAGGACGGGGACGAAAGCACAGTAGAGAAAATACCTGGTAAAATACAACACGCATGGCTATCGTCGGCAGAAAGAGGACAGACCCACACAGAAGCCACAGTGAGACTTCTGTCAGTTTGGATCAGGAACACACAGGGTTCTCCACACGTGCAAAGGTAAATGGGTCAGCTTGGGCTCTGGTGGACTCAGATTTAACCCAAGTTCTCAAACCTCTGCCACACACTCTGCCACACCTCTGTAGCTAGTCAATTTAGTTTCTAGTGAATTTAGGACTGAAACTTAAATTAACACAATGATCCACAGTCTTTTCTAGTGTCATGGTCTCTTTATTCTTATTACTATCAAAAAGAACACTGCTACACTGAAAATATCCTTGTACACATCTAGAGATATAATCCCATATTGACATCACTATATACTCTCAAAAGATGTATGTGGACAGAAATTGTGTATGGTGAATCATATTACTTATGCATTAGGATATTAGATATTTATCGGAATCCTACAGTGGATTATTTTATAAAGAATAATTTTTACAAATCAAATAATCTTTCTTCCACTTGTTTATCCTGTGCAAGTATGTGTGCTGGGGAAGAGGTGGCTGTTCGGAAAACCAGATACATCTGTAATGAAACTATTCTTAAATCTCATATATTCAGCTGCCCACCTCAAATGGCACTGGAGTTTAATGAAGGAATTTCGATGTTTATAAAAACGCTTATTATGTGTGCAGAGATCCTATTATCAGTCTGAGCCTTCTCGATCTCTGTGGTTTGGGTTGGTATTACATCAGGTCAGTCTTACCAGACTAGAAAGGAATGGATTCCATGTGGACGGGAGGCCTGAACATGCTTTACCGAGTGTCTGCAACTAGAAACTACACTTTGTTTAAAAAAAAAAAAAAAAAAAAAAAAACTTGGTAATCTATAAAATGGAGAAAATTCAGCTAATGTCTTGAGCATAGACACTCGGGTGCTAGTATTGATATTTTTGCACCACAAGCAAAGAAGGCTGGTGTAGCCCAGCTTCCACAGACACGCAAGACCAAAGGCACAGAGCACCAGGTGCTTGGGTGTGGCGGGGGATTTGGATGTCTTCTAGGCCCACGCCTTAGCATGTTTGAAGTTTCTCTGTCCCAGTCCCAGCAAGTGGCCTATGGGGTAAGATTTAGGAAGCGGGTTTCCAGTATTTGAATCAGAAGTCAGCCACTTACTGGCTCTAACATTGGGTAGTGAGTGTGTCAATCTCCTCATCTGAGAAATGGGTACAGATGGATACAAAGAGCTTAGACAACACTTGGACATAGAACATCATCAAGCTATTAACACCTCGAATCATGCCACATGTGACTCCGGTTCCTCCCTCAAGCTCCTGCCCAGGCTTGAATGAAAGGAGGCAGTCTTGTCCCTGTCTGCGAGGCCTTTAATCCTGGGCTTCTCTGGCTACTGCGCAGGCTGCGATAGAAGAGCCAGGCTCTGGGGCAGTGGATTAGCGGGAGAGCCAGCATTTCTGTTGACTCTGTTGCTATGCCCCAGGGAGCCTTTGAGGGTCAATGATTACCAGTTTCGGCTTGGGTTCTGCCAAGCCACCAGAGTTACATTAATGGGGCGGCACGTCGTCACCCACCCTCCCATGTCCAAGTGCTTTCTTGGAAAGCCCTGGAGCCAGAGGGAGCCAAGCCAGCAGCTTTGGTGACCCTTTGTTCCATGCCATAGAGCCACCCTTGAGCGAATGCTGGAGTCTCCTCACTGGGTCTCTTCTGAGCACGGCCCCATCCTCATCACCGGGAAGAACCCACCCAGGAGCCCTCTCAGAACAGGACACTGTCCAGGAGACGTCCCAGCTAGGTCCTCCAGCAATTATCTTGAACCGCTCTTGACTAATCCTCGCATCTGCCTCTGAAACAAGGAGGACAAGCAGGAAGGGGGACATCCCCCTAGACCTTAGAGCCACGCCAAGGCAGGCAAGCTCGGGGCCCTCACCGAGACCCACCTCCCGAGAAAGGCTGGTGGCGCCTACAGCCGGCCTGCTGACGCAATTCCTCTCATTCCTTTCCTCGTTTCTTTTCACTCAGTGGTGTGTATAATGACCTGGAAAAGATAAAATTAAATTCCACGTTATTTCCCCTTATTTGCCCTTCTATCGAAATCAAGCCAAATCGAAAGAAGATTTTCAGTCTCAAAAACGTTCCTTAACCTCTCTGAGCTGCCCTTTTCCATATTAACTATATTGATCATTCTAGTGCCTTTGTTGTTAGGGGGATTAAGTGAGAAATACATATATCCACAGGAACATGTGTATGTCAATAGCAACATTATTCATCATAACCAAAGAGTGGAAAGTTTGAAACAGTTGATGTCCATCAACAGATGAATCAATACATGAAATGTGACATATCCATACAGTGGAATATTATTCAGCTCGAAAAAGGAATAAAGTACTGATACGTGCTACAACACGGACGGACCTGGGAAACATTACGCCAGTGAAAGAGGCCGGAGATTGCAGGATTCCACCTCTATGAGATGTTAGAACAGGCACAACTACAGAGAAAGAAAATTAGACTGGGGACTGCCAGGGGCTGCGGAAAAGGTGGGTGGGGAGTGACTGCTAATGGCCACCAGGTTCTTTTGGGGGTGACGAAAATGTTCTAATATTGATTGTAATGATGGTTGTGCAACTCTGTGAATCCACAAAAACCACCTATTAGGCACTTCAAATGCGTGGGTTTTATTTTATGAGAATTATGTTGCAATAAAGCTGGGACAGAGAAAACACACATATAAAGTGCCTGTCACACAGTAGTCTCCACCAACTTCCCCTCCCACTCTCACCCCACTTCCCCATGCCTTTGGGCCCTGGTTGGAACCTCGGCTGAACTTGGCACCTGCCGGTCGTAGTAAGTGGGTGCTGTGATCCTAAAGGCACCACCATCAACATGATTTTCTTTGTCTCAAGAGCTGGAGTACAGAAAGAATTATTCTGCTTACCCTCACTGCCAAACAGAAACCCTGCTAGCGTGAGAGACGTCTCTTCTCCCAGGGTCTGCAGAAACTCATCCCTGCTGCTTCCCAGGTGTGTTTGGGTAAAGCAATCCAGGCTGGGCCGTGGGCCCTCCTACACACCCACCTGACCACCTGCACCTGGGCTCCACAGGTGCTCAGTTATGATCCTGGGTCAGCAGGTCTGGGTGAAGCCCCTCACACCTCTCAGTGCCAGAGGGCAGGTCTGTGGGATGGCAGGGGGTGGGGGGTGGGATTCACCGGGTCCCTCCTACTACACCAGCCAAGCAAGAGCCACCTCTTTCATCTCTCCCGGAAGCTCGATTTCTTTTTCTCCCTCTTTCTCCTTTTTTCAGCACATCTTTTATTTGAATGTTTTCCAGCATTTTGTTCCTTGCACATAGCTCTTGCTGCATTCCTGGACCCAGCAGCACTGATGTCCCAATTCCCATTTGAGCCGGCCCCTCCAGAGACTCAGCATGACCTCACAGACAAGCCAGAGCCCCACAGCCCATTCAAACCCCTCCTTCCCCACATTTCTCCCATGCCACTCCTTCTCTCTGCACCCCCCATCCCCACCCCACACCACATACACCAAGGAGAGAGAAGGATGGAACGTGACTGGGATCAGACCTTGCTGCTTTCTTGGGTGACAACAGGATACAGAGCTGTGTGGAGTCCACATTCAGGGACTCACGAGAGAATGACAGAAACCCCCCACTGCCCATGTCCAGAAACTGGGCCCTTTCTCAAAGGCAGGACTGTATGTTCCTTGCATACTTCCTGAATAAGGGCCACTAGAAAGAATGTCCCCAACCACCACCTCTCTACTTTCAGTTGTCCACCTCTGAAAACATCCTAACCTGGATTAGCACAAATAGTCATCATCTGTTTGATGACACACCTGCAGGGCCAATCCTAGATCTTATTAAGTATGATAAATGCATGATGCGTTTGGGGGAAGAAACTAAAGCCCCTGGTGTGCTCTGAGAACTAATTCCTATTAAAAGAAACGAGGCGGTCTCGCTGGAGTGCACGTGCGGGCTCCCGCTGAGTCTCTGGCCTTGAAACACATGTCTGGAGTCAGGCTTGAATTCCAGCTCTGCAGCTCGCTGGTTCGTGACCCAGCAGCCCACCTGGAGTTTCTACAGAACTAATTTCTCGATGTAATCGATTAAGCCTCGGGGGGGAAAAGATTGCTAGGAAACGTAAGGAGCAATAAAAACCCTGGAGCTCCTTGTCAGCCCTTGATGGTTTCTTTCTTTTTTTTTTTTTTTTTTTCATTGTTTTGGACCTGCCTGTCTTCCTGATTCACTTTTCTTACCCTCCCACACTTCCAATAGTTGTACCCATTTTCAGTGATGGGTTTATTCTTTCTCCCCAACATCATTTGAGTCCTGACGTTCCCCACCTTGCCATGGTCCCCTGAGCTTCACAGGAGCAGATGGAGAGAAGAAGAAAGAAGGAAGATCTCCAGGAATTGTGACGAGATTGACAACTGGGCTTAGCGCTAGCCAAAATGCTGGTTCCTGGGCATCCAGAGGGTGTGAGGTCCAAGCTGGGATCATCATTAAGATGGAAGGCATCATTGCAAATGAGGCTGGCAAAGCAAAGTTAGGGTTCTACAGGCGCCTTGAAAGTAGCGAAGAGATGGGCTATAAGGTGGTATCGAGCTGGGCTTAAACACCACCTCTGCCACTTGTTACCAGGGTAAGTTACTTTGCTTTTCTAGACCTACACATTCTCCTCCATGAACATGGACATAAGGAAATCTGTTTCACAATGCTGGGATAGGATTAAGTGTAGGAAAGCCCAGTCGAGAACCTGGTATGGGGAAATCCACAATAAATGCCAGGTGCCTTCCTTGTTTAGCAGGGCTGAGAGACTTTGATGAAGAGATCAGGACTGGGGACAGCCAAAGATGGAGTTGGCATGGGGGGAACAGTTTTAACTCCCAGGTCTGAATTTGGGCAGGCAGCTCTCTCCTGCCAGACCCAAGGACGGTACCCACTGTGCCTGTGTGAGCTGTAAAGAAAATGCAGGAAGGATGCATAGTCCTGCTTGAGGGTCTTGCCAGGTCTTGGGAAGTCTCTCTCCCTCCCCTCATCCCATCCTGGAGCCTCTTAAAGAAGGCTCTCCCACCAGGACTTCCCCCGTGGGAAAAGACAGCAGGCTCTGATCTGCTTTCAAGGGACCTGTCAGGAGCATCTTTTTATACATGAGGCCCAGAGGGAGAAGACTCTGTTTATCTGGCTGCTAGGGACAAATTAACGAAGTGGTGAAAGGCTGTAGATGAGAGAGAGAAAGATTGCCCATGAAACAATGAGATTACATCACATGTGGAGGGTGCAATTGTGCCAGCCAGACCAACTGAACTTCCTCTGAGGTTAGCATCATCAGCCTTCCAGACCCAGAGGCAGCCGGAGCACAGGGCTAGGTGAATGGCGCCTAGCGTGATCCTTTCTCTGAAAGTTCTTGGCCGGGGTTGCAGGTCCCGTGGCCACCAGGCTGCGGTGAGAGGTACAGGTCCACCCTCAGGGTGCAGGGCAGAAGAGGGAGCGGAGCAGAGGAGGGGCAGTTCCACATGTGATGTACACAGGGACAGCACATCTGGGCACAGGCATCTTGGACTGAAATTACTGCTCTAAAAAAATTTCCTAGCACCTTCTTCTTTTGCTTCTTAGCACTGAATACAACTGATTTTATTTATTTATTTTTTTATTTTTTGAGATGAAGTCTTGCTCTGTCACCAGGCTAGAGTGCAGTTGCGATCTCAGCTCACTGAAATCTCTGCCTCGGGTTCAAGCCATTTTCCTGCCTCGGCCTCCCAAGTAGCTGGGATTACAGGTGCATGCTACCATGCCTGGCTAATTTTTGTATTTTTAGTAGAAACAGGGTTTCACCATGTTGGTCAGGCTGGTTTCTAACTCCTGACCTCGTGATCCGCCCACCTCGGCCTCCCAAAATGCTGGGATTACAGGAATGAGCCACCACACTCAGCCATACAACTGATTTTGTATTGATTTTGTTCAATTCAGATCATTCTCAGCTCTGTCAATGGCACATCTACCCCCTAGTCAAGCAAAACCTTGATTCACCCTTAATTCAATCCATCAGCAAATCTTGTCTGCTCTTCCTGCAGAATATAGTCAGGACCTATCTGTCCTCTTCTCATCTCCTTTGCTGCCAGGCCGCCAGGATTCTTTGGCTGGGCTATAGAAATTATCTGTTCCTTGATCTCTTCACTGCCTCTCTCTCTTCCTTATGATATAGCCCACACCATCAGAATGAGGAAGGAGTCCTGAAAATCGGATGACATTGTTGCCTGGCTGAGACCTCTCTCAGCTTCCCTTTGCTCTGATGATCTCAAGGCCCCATACAGCCAGGACTCTGACACACTCCGTAGTCCACACTCATCCCCTCTGTCACCCCGCTCACTCTGTTCCCACCTCCTCTGCTCTGCAAGCATGGGCACAGCTCCTGCCCTGGGCTTTGACACCTGCTGCTTCCTCCTTCAAGGCTGCTCTGTTCTAGGTCTGCCCATGTCTGGCCGCTCCATGTCACTAGGGGCTTTGCTCCATCACCACCTCCTTCGAGAGCCTTTCGGCATCCAATCTGAGGCAGTGCCATGGCTCCAGCGGGAACTCCATCCTATCTTGGTTTCTTCCCATCTCTTATCAAGAGTGGCTGTCATGTTGGTTGTTTATTTCCCTGCTGGTGATGCGTTCACTTATTGTTGATCTCCCCTCTACAGAATGCACCCTCCAGGACAGCAGCCCGTCTTGCCTTCCTCTGAATCCTCAGCGTGTGGACGCAGAGACTCTACAAATCCTTCTTGACCAAGGTCAATAACCTCCCCTGGGATGGGAATGCCACAGGTCAGCTGTCAGGTCAGCTGCGTCCCTATGTTATACTCAACACTGCTCATTGGGCCTCAGGGCTCTCTCCAAACAGAGAAGGCGAAGGGAGAGAGAAAGAGAAGGCATTTTTCTTCAAGTTGTAGCTCAGCTCGCCAAACTAATGACCAAGCGAACATCTGGGGTGGTGTGGAAACTGCATGTGGTAGATTCCTAAGTGCCACTGCTGGCACAGCAGGGACGAGTGCTTGTGCATCGGCTTGGGACGCCCCTGGGAGCATCATCTTTTTAAGTTAAGCTTCGATTTTCTGCAGTTAGTAATAACACATAGATTTCATGTATTTTGAACTCAATAGTGTGCCTGAAAACATACATTAAAATGTGTTTCTGGGTAATCACTTACATTTTTCTCTTTTTTTTAAGATGAAGTCTCAGTCATGTCACCCAGCTGGAGTGCAATGGCACAATCTCCTCTCAGTGCAACCTCTGTCTCACAGATTCAAGAGATTCTCCTGCCTCCGCCTCCCAAGTAGCTAGGATCACAGGCTGTCTGCCACCATGCCTGGCTAATTTTTGTATTTTTACTAAAGATGGGGTTTCACCATGTTGGCCAGGCTGGTCTTGAACTCCTGACCTCAGCTGATCTGCTCATCTCACCACCCAAAGTGCTGGAATTACAGGCATGAGCCACCATGCCTGGCCCATTTACATTTTTTAAAACTACCCAATTTTAGCATTTATTGGCTTAGTCCAGGGTTTAAAAGTTGTAAAAAGTGCAAGAGCAGCTAATCCCTGTGCAACAGCTCAGAGAAACAGAAGAAAATGTGGATAAAATAGAGAGGGCAAAGAGAATGCAGGAAGCTCCACAATGGCAAGGGACAGGGAGGGACGGGGAGAGACAGGGAGGGACGGGGAGGGCTGGGGAGGGACGGGGAGGGACGGGGAGGGACGGGGAGGGCCGGAGAGGAACAGGGGAGGGATGGGGAGGCAGAGAACACTGGCGAGTAAGAGCAGCTAAGGATGAAGAGGCATAGCAATGCATGCCACAGATCAAGCAGAAGTGCCCAGAGAAAATCCTCCATGCCTTAAGGAGGTTCGCAGCACAGCTGTGAGCCCTGCCACCAAAGACAGGGGCAGACAGTTAAATGTCAACTCTGCACCACCATATTTGATTGATGTTTAACCATGGTTCAAACAGCACATGTCTCCGTGGCAGCAGCTATAGTTTTTTAAAAGAGTGAATGGATTAATGAATGCAAAAATGAGGAGTTTAGAGAATTTAAAGAACTGTGAGGCAGAACTAGGGTAGGAACCCAGCTCTTTTTGAGACAGGGTCTTGCTCTGTTACCCAAGCTGGAGTGCAGTGGTGCAATCATAGCTCACTGCAGCCTCTACCTCCCCAGCTCACAGGATCCTCCCGCCTCAGTCTCCCAACCAGCTAGGACCACAGGCAAGTGCACCACTCCGGGATAGTGTTTTGATTGTGGAGATGAGGTCTCACTGGGTTACCCAGGCTGGCCTTGAACTCCTGGCCTCAAGCAATTCTCCTGCCTCAGCCTCCCAAAGTGCTGGGATTACAGGCCGGAGCCACCGTGCCAGGCTAGAAGCCAGGTCTTAACCTGATGCCTTCACCCCAAGCTCCCTAAAGATCTGGTTCAAAAGATGAGTGAATTCTGATGTCTAGGGCAGGAGGAAAAAGGAAGGAAGGCCCAGGGGGAAGGCTGGCCCTCCCCTCTCCCCTCCCTTCCCTGAGTGCCCTCTACTGACTTGCCCTCCCTTGTTTTACCTCTGTCTGGGCATCTGTAGTGGGAGCCGCTTGCACTGGGCGCTGGGGTATGGCCTTAACAGGACCCAGGGAGGTGGGGGAGCTGGGCAGAAAATTGAAAGGAGCCAAATACACAGAATAATTATAGATTGTGATAAGGACTAAGAAAGAAACAGTAACTAGAAGTGACCTTGAAAAGTCCCCGTAAGTAGGCACTGGTGCTGAAGACGGCGCGGGCAGCAAGGCGGAGGGCAGAGAAGAGGTGCTGCGGAGCCCACACTTGCCCTCGCCAGGCCTCCCTCTTACCAGCAGCAGCACCCCCTGACCTGCCCAGGGCACTGCGCACAGAGGTCGGCGTTAATTTCAGAGAGATCCCAGAAGGACACCTGCCTGGCCCTAGACAGGGCAAGAGTCAGACCTTGGATTTCTCATCTGCCAGATGACGATGATGCAAGCTACTTCCCAGGGCCATATACAGATTAAATGTCGCAGTGCTTGGGAGAATCCAGATGGATGAACGACACTATAGACACATGGCTTGGATTTGTGGCAAGAGGGACTTCAGTGAGACATGAAGAACTGTTGACTGAGAGGCTGGCAGGACACTGTGGCAGGTTTGCAGTGAAGAATTCCACACTGACAATGTAAAAGAGAGGCAATGACTGGCGTAAGCGCTTGACGCTGCATGGCTTTCACTGTGTGAAATGCACACATGAGTTCTTGTAGAAATGAATGAAAAGAGGTGACTTAAGGAACTCAGGAAGTCGCTGTGCTGTCACTGTCAGGGATTCCAGAAGATTCTCTCTGAAAAACAGTCACCAACTAGATTATTAAAAATTAGCCCACTGTCACCTCGGGTGGGTCTTGTCACCCACATCAGCTGGACCAAGGGGCCTGGATATGCAGTGGCCTGGAAACAGGTGACCCTAAGGGGCAGGCGGGATGTAGGCAGAGAGGAAAGAAGAAAATGCTGATGGAAGCTACTCAGAGAAGTAGAGGTCAGGTGGCTCTGAAACCCAGATGTGACCACAGAGGAAAGTGCCCTGGAGGCCAGAGACACAGCTCCACTGACCAGCTATGTGACAGGGTCATGGCCCAGCCCCTTCCCTGGTGCTGAAATTTCCCTCTCTGGGAGATGAAGACCACGTCGCTGGGACCTGCCTATAATACTTCAACAAACAAAAATACTCTATGTACAATGTAGGGGATTATTTTTATAAACTCCAGGGCAGGGAACGTCAACAGCACAGAGGCAGCACTGCCATCTCCTGACACGTGTCCTGCCCTCTCCCCATCCCCAGGGCCCACGAATGGCCCAGCATCTGCTCTTCAGTCACTGGTGAAATATGTGTGGCGTTCACTGTGTCTGCACATGGAAATTAGCCTGCCGGTGGTCTGGCTCCTGGCGTCCCTGGGGAGCAGACAAAGACAGAAACTCTGGTACTGCCAGCTTCCGTCCATGGCGCTTTCCTGCGGTGGGGTGCTGGCTGAGTGACAGCAGCAAGACTGCAGCATTCACTGGCAGCTGAGCCAGAGCATCGGGGGCCCTAGTGGGTCTGCGGTCAATGGGGATGGTATCGTGTAGGGTCCACGAACTGAGACATTTAGAAAAGAAAGAGAAACATGCCCAATGAAGAGGCAAGATGGGAGCAACAGGGCTAGTGGATGTCCCTAGGCCCTCAGACAGAAAGGAGCTTGTACCCAGTGATCGCAAGCTCGTTTATGGGGTAGACCCAGGCAACCTGAAGAAAGGCAGAATCAGAGAGATAGCCAGAGGTGACTGTCATCAGAAACATAACCCTGCTCCCGGGAGCCACCAGAAAGCGGGATAACTGGGGCTGTCTTCCCTGGTGCAAGCCCAGGAGTGAGGACTTTGTGATAAGATTTCTAAAAACACCAGCTCCGTACTCTGCCTGTCGGTAAGCCGCCACCAGAACCCCTCCCGGAAAGAGACGCAGGCTTTACGTCTGTAGAAGTTTGTTTCCATTTCCCACTGAAATGGATCCCTGCCTCTCGACACCCCTAAAACCTCAGCTTCTTCCTGATCTCCAGCCCACATCCTAATGGGTGAGGCTGAAGTCTAATTTCCTCTGGCCTTCAGTGAGGATGAGGAAACCAGGCCCTTCGTAGATGAGAAAGAAACTTCAGCCCCAGCGCTTGGCTACGCTTCTCCAGTGGCTGCCTATTCCCAGCTTCATGGTCCTGGTGGCCATGGTCAGCCAAGTAGGAAGGGATTTGCCTGCTGTGTGCTGGGTGCCTGGGTCGTGCCACTCATCTTGCTGTGGTCCCATCCTCCCGCTCTCTCCCTACCCCTTTCCTCACTGCCACAAGATACTTAAGGGGCATCTTTGTAGAAATTCAAATCTGTAAACACCACAAGCTGGAAAATACCCAGCCAAAGGCTCAGGTGTGTCAGTAAGAAGGTGAAGAGCATCTGAGTGCTGCCTGGGATTTTCTCCACTCCATGGCAGCCTCTGTCCACAACAGACCTCATCCCACCTCTGCTCTTCAATGGTGAGCATTGCCCAGGCTGGGGAAACCTTGAATTCTCCTGCACAATGGTTTCAGGCAGGGCTAGCAGTGAAGAGCCCCATGCTGGAAAGGGCTCTCGGACCTGGTCCTGGGGAGCACTCTGGGAGTATCTTGTCTCCTCTTCTCCGCTCCCTCTGAAGGGATGGAGTATTGGAAGAGGAAACAGCACTCTCTCCCACCCACCCCATCCCCCTGGAGCTGCCCTCGAAGCAGACTGGGTCGGGGAAGCTGGTTGGCTGGTTAAAATGTGCAAGTGCTCTGCCAATCCACTGATGTGTCATGCAGCCACTCTTGTACCTGTCATGCCTACTCATCCTCTCACAGCGACTGAAGCTTCTGCAGCATAGGGACTGTGTCATCATACTTCCCTAAGGCCAGCATAGCAGTGGCTTCTCAAAGTTCTTCTAAGGTGACCTCACCCCATGCCTCTGGCTTATCTCTGAACCCGACTCAAGCTCCCCATATTCTATGCATAATTCCTCAGCGGTCCAACCCTTCCCTTAGCAGCATCCAAATACCCTGATCCCTGAAATGGTCACATGCACCTTCCAGCATGAGATCAGGATTACCCTTATCTCTTTGAACATCTCATCACTGGACTCGGGTTCGAAGGGACCACACATTTCACAGAGTCTTCTCCTGTGAAAAGACCCACAACAGTTATTCACAGTGGCTGAGTTCTGCTGAGCTCCTCAAGGACAAATGGCAGATCTGGATAAAGCCAGAAAGCTCCTGAGAATTTAATCAAGGGCAACGAACCATGAGACTTCCCCTAGGGGTAGTCACCTGAGAGAGCTTGGGTCGTTTTAACTCTGCAACGACAGTATTAACCTGTTGCTTTCAACCGTGCTGCACTGCATATTTAAATCTACTCCCTGGGAACATGGTGGCACATTGGTAGACCCCAATAAATACAATTCCTGAATCCCAGCCAAGAAACATTGGTGTGTGCGTAACTGGAGGAGAGGGAGGCGCAGGGACATTGGGAAATTCTAAATAAGTGGAAAATTCTGGTTTGTATTTCACAGAGTATTCAGAAAGAATCTTCTCTTAGAAGCTTGGGTGGGTGCAAAGGTTACGAAGCCCAGTAACTGCAGAATACAGCACAGGGCAGACACACGCGTGCAGAGACGGACTCTGTTGCACACTGGGGAACCGATTTTGGAAAATAACAACAGGATTTTTCTGAGAGAAGAAGTTATTTATCCAAAACAATGCTGGGAAAATTCAGATTTACATTTTTGCTAGGGCTTTTGAGTTGTGCATTCCTGCAATGAGTGAGCTGGATTTGATGAGGCTTTACAGTGATTTTTCAAAATTAGTGTTTCAGTGCTCTGGTATTTTGTTGTTGTTGTTTTTCCTGCAGTTCCAGACGTTCCCCCATCCAACTACTAACCAGGCCCAACCCTGCTTAGCTTCCGCGATCAGATGCGTTCAGGGTGGTATGGCCACAGACAATGCTCTGGTTTCAAGTGGAGCACTTTTGGATTGGGTTTTATATTTGACAGGTGGGGACCTTAATAGTTTTTAAGAAGCAACTCCTTAGAGTGGAAGATCTTTAGATCCTCAATGGTTTTGAAATGACCTGTTCTCTGCACTATTTTTAGTTTCTTTCTGCTATTTTTCTAAAAGGAATCTGGGAGTTTCATGTGTAAGGGCATCATTCCTTTTACTGTTTGCTCACAGATTCTGATGAGGCAATTGCAAGAAAGGACTGACACTTTGCACATCCTTCACAATCTTCTGCAAGGAGGCTTAGAATCATCCTGCCTGGAGCAGGGAACAACTTTTGACCTTAAGGTTATTTAAGGTTTGACCTTAAGGTTTATTGTTGACTTTTCTTTTTTTTTCTTTTTCTTTTTTTCTGAGACAAAGTCTCACTCTATCACCCAGGCTGGAGAGCAGTGACATGATCTCTGTTCACCGCAACCTGCACCTCCTGGGTTCAAGCAATTCTCTTGCCTCAGCCTCCTAAGTAGTTGGGACTACAGGTGTGCACCACCACACCTGGCTAATTTTTGTATTTTTAGTACAGATGGGGTTTTTCCATAGTAGCCAGGTTGGTCTTGAACTCTTGACCCCAGGTGATCCACCCACCTCAGCCTCCCAAGTGCTGGGATTACAGGTGTGAGCCACTGTGCCAGGCCTATTACTGACTTTTCTAGGGGTCTATCTTTTATACGTCTCTACACTAATTTTTTTCTTCAGCATTTTTTTTTTTGAGGATGTTTGTTTTTGTTGTTTTCTTTTCCCAATTTCCATACATCTTGCTTGTTCGTGAAGATTTCTGAACCACAAAATCAAGCCAACCACTTTCTGCTATTTCACAGCATTACCAACACTATTCCTGAATCATATATATTTCTGGAGACAGAGCAGATTGAGAAGGCCTAGGCCCTTTTCTGTATACTTTTGGCTTGAGCCTAGGTAGGTCATCACAGTCTTGAATGTGGAAGGGTAAGTGGAAAGAAAAGGCTCTGTGCTATTCAAAGTGTGCTCTTTTTGTGGACTTGGGGGTCTCTGGCTCCTGTTTCAGGCATCCGTTTCACCCTCGCCTGTCCCGATCACTCTCTGCAACCAATCGTCCACCAGACCTTGTGCCTTCTGCCTCTTGGTAATCTCCTCCCTGGTTGCCCAGCCGTGGTCTTACCCTACTCCAGTCCACCTTGCACGTTGCAGGCAGAGGAACCCTTCCACAATGTGAATAACATCTTACCCCAGTTCTCACCACCTTCCAGAAACTGCCCAAGTTCCTCAGCACCACATGCTAGGTCCTTCATCATGGCACCCTGCGGCTTCCTTCACCCCTCCCCAGTCACCCACCCTCAGCCATACCAGCCTGGTATTCCCTGTGTAAGCCATGCTCTCTCTTATGCATATCTTTGTAAATGCCATTTCTAGAATGTTCTAGAATGTTCTTCCCCCTGCCTCCAGCAGGCCCTCTCCTGTCCACCCTGGGCATTTAGGATCATGGTTCTGTGAGGTCTTCTGCGGGAAAAGTATGATGTACTTTCCTGTGCAGGCAGCGATGATACCATGAGGTCCCCACTTATCACGGTATCTCTCCCACTAGCATGTGACAGCCTGTTTCCATGTGCATATCCCCTAGTTCAAGTGCCTGCCCTCCAGAGCAAAGCGTTTCCCAAGCCACTCAGTGGTTTCCCAGGACCTAGCATCCAAAATACAATGAGTTCTCATTACAAGCTTGCTGAAAGGCGAATGAAGAGAAAACCCTGTATGTATAATAATAATTGTCATGAGAAAGACAAGAATGAAGAGAAGAAAGACAATAGTCATCACTGGCATCTTAAATTGTGGAGCCAAGCGGAGGAACATTTGGGTCACCCTCAGGATCAAACTGCCGGGCCAGAAGCAATTCCACTGAGAGGGCACCAGGAAGCCTTCAATCCACCGAAACCCTGGGGCAAGTAAAAGGCAAAGCATGTGACTCACAGCCGAATCCCTGGACAATCACTGAGCTGTGACAAGGTCCAGGGTAGATTTGTAACCTAGCACTGAAAAGCACATTGCTGAGGAAAGTAAAGGACCGTGCATGGGGAATTTCGAGTCTCAGCTCCTCAGAGCAAACCATGCTTGGCAATTGCAATTTAAGAAAAAAATCAGAGCAAACCAAAAGTCACTAACAGCATTAAAGATCCAAGACCTACTCCCAAGGAATTCACATACTCGGCTTCTTTGCAAGTGCAGTCTTGCACCTATACTGACTTGGTGTACCTCCTTACACAGAAGAAATCCACCTTCATGACTTGAGTATTTAAAAAAATTGTTCTGATGGCTCATATGTTCCCAGATATCCCTACCCCATCATGCTCTTAAAAGCTGAAGCTGATTTAGTGAGAATCCATTTACACTGAACAGTGTAGATAGAGTAAGACAGCACAAGCCAACCCTTGGCTGAAGAGAGCCCACAAAGACTGTGCAGCTCCTCCAGTGTAACCAACGAGACGAGTCCACCAAAGATTCTAACTGCCCTCTAGCCCCAGCCACGGAATGGCTCAGGGAAGGCAGAGTGCAGCTTGCAGCTAATAATCCTGGCATAACCATCAGATCAAAAGCATCCTGTGAGTGACTCTGCCAAGTCCCCGTCCATAAAAGACCCTTAGCACAATCACTACATTTTGCTCCATTTTGTAAACCCAAATAAACAGAGAAAAATTCTATCATTTTTTCTAAAAGTTGTTGGTTGCAAAAGACCAACTCCTTTTGAGTGACTATGCACCAAATCTATAAGATACAGATATTGGGAGAAGGGGCTCCATACCTGTTCAGAGTGAAGATAAACCATTGGTATTCACCGGTATACAGCAATTGTCACAATAGTCATTAAGGAGCTGAACAAATATTGAGAAATCCAAATGCATTCATTCAGAATGGTGCAAAATTCCAATAAAGTGCTATGTCAGGAAATGAATAAAAGGCATTTGGGTGAAGGTCATCGAAATATCTTGCTAACTCTTTTCGTAATAGATGTTTTTCATGGCAGACCCCACTAGCACTTTGATCCTCTACCTCAAAGATGGAAAAGGCCTGGCAGACGTTGTACTACTAGGCAAGGTCTTGTTACAGTTGAAAGAATGGCATCACAGATAAAAACCCTACACACATCTCTGCCACCAAAAGAAGACTTCAGAACCAGGCATGATACAACCAAAGATTCTTACTGCCCTTTAGCCCCCGGGCTGCGGAATGGCTTAGGAAAGGCAAGCTACAGCTCACAGTTAATAATCCACGTGTAACCAGCACATCAAAAGCATCCAGTGAGTTAAAACCTAAAACCATGCTTGTGTCTATCCCCTGGGAGTGGACACAAAAATCTGTCTAGATTTGAGGTGGAGAAAAGAGGTCTACATTTGCATAAGAATTAACTTGTTTTTTGTACAAAGAGACAATGAGGTATTTCTCCTCTTACCTCATGAATTGATGGAGTAAATGTAGAAACAAAAACTCATTTTCTTGGTCTCCAAGAAAGCAGCCAGATTCTCGATGTGAGCAAGTCCTTGCACCTTTGATGCAAGAGTTTAGATGTGCTGGATGAAGGTACCTGAGGCCCTGTTGATTTTTATGAGTCTGTGGGTCAGCTCAGACTGGCTGCCAACTCATCTGTATGCAACAGCTCTCAAAGAACATAGTTTACTTTATAACCGGATCCAACAAGAGTAGGCGTGGCAGTTAAATGGGTGAGATACCAAAGGTGTTGCGCTGCCAAGGCTAATTAAGAAGGATTTGTTTATGAAACCCTGGCCTGGAACCAGAAGACCAGCATGCTCATGAAGATGGTGCCTAAGTCAAAAGCATGAGGTCAAACCCATGTGCACATGGGGCTGGATGTTACAGGGCAGGGATGTCGGGGTCCCCAAGGAACCCCTTGAAAGTGTCTCCTGCCCTGTGAATCACTCGGTGGCTGTAGAACAGCAGTCCCCAACCTTTTTGACACCAGGGACCAGTTTCATGGGAGACATTTTTTCCATGGACCAGGGAGGTGGTAGGGGAGGATGGTTTCGGATGATTCAAGCATTTTACATTTATTGTGCATTTTATTTCTATTATATTCCTTATTTCATTATATATTATATATCATATTCTAAAATATAATGAAACAATCCTGCAACTCACCATAATGTAGAATCAGTGGGAGCCCTGAGTTTGCTTTTCTTCAACCAGACAGTCCCATCTGAGGGTGATGGGAGGCAGTGACAGATCATCAGGCATTGGATTTTCATAAGGAGTGTGCAACCTAGATTCCTTACATGCACAGTTTACAAAAGGGTTCAAGATCCTGTGAGAATCTAATGCTGCTTCTGATCTGGCAGGAAGCAGAACTCAGGCAGTAATGTGTGCCAGGGGGAGTGGCCAGAAATATAAATGAAGCTTTTTTCACCTACCACTCACCTGCTATACAACCTGGTTCCTAACAGGCCACAGACCTGGTATGGAGACTCCTGCCTTAGAAGATGAGGCTGACCTGACTTCCCTTGGTCATCCAGTAGCCACTCTGGTTCCAGGACAATGCAGAGCTTTACAGCACAGAGTTTGCCATTCACTGATTCGGTTGAGACCCTACTCTACCGACTGCAAGTTACCTAGCTTCTCACCTCGGAAGTCTGCGGTGGAAAGCTCAAGAGATCATGTATGCAATGCACTTGTCATTGAGTGCACAGAGTTGAAAATCAACGTACTCTGAGTGTCAGCCTTTGTCCTCCTCACCCCACCCCCTAGGGCCATCTCCCACTAGGAGACTGAGGGAGAAGGGGTCTTTACCCCACACCCTTCCTGAGTTGCTGTCTTCCCACTGGTCCTCACACTTCACAGCAGGCCATCACTCGAAGCATTGCTTGGGTTTGCATGAAGCAGCAGCAGGTGACTGTGGGCCAGCCGCATGTCCCTTCACCGCCTGTCCCTTTCTCCACTCAACACCATGCAAGATAGGAGGTTTCAATCTCAACTCAAGACTGAAATAGATGAGAAACATCAGAGCAGCAGCATAGCTTAGAGACCATACGCCAGGGTTCTGACACTAGTCCCTGGCAGGGGAGAGCTGAGACTCCATGGTAATCATAAGGTGGAAACACATCCGAAATTTCATGGAAAAGGCAATTTTGCTTTCCAATATTTATAAACATAATCAGTTGTTATAGATAAGGAAAAAAGAACCTAGTAGGTTGCTACGGTCTATTCAGACAAAATTTATAGATTGGCAAAATTTATATATTGAAATGTAATCCCCATGTGATAGTTTTAAGAGGTGGGGCCTCTAGGAGGTGATTAAGTCATGAGGGTGGAGCCCTGCCAGGTGGGGTTAGGGCCCGTATCAAAGGGCTTGAGGAAGGAGGTTCATTCTCTTCTGCTGGGAGGACAGTGTTTTCCTCTTTCTGCCCCTCTGCCTTCCACCATGTGATGCACCAGTCAAGGCCCTCACCAGACACCAAACCTGCCTGTACCTTGGTCTTGGACTTCCAGCCTCCAGAACTGTCTGTGGTTTAGAAGTTACCCAGCCTCACATACTTTGTTATAGCAGCCCAGACAGAACGAGACGTAGGTGTAAGGGAAGCCGCTTATGGGAGGGTTCCCACGTGAAGCCAGATTGGAAGAGACCCACACTGGGGAGCTCTAACACGGCTGGGAAACAGCAGCAGAGGGGAGTCCATGCTCCTGCTACTCCTGGCCTTCCCCCTCCACATGTGGCCCCCTGTGGGCACGCACGTCCTCACCACTGTTCCCCATCCCTGGGTTTGCCCCCTCTGTCCACAGGCCCTCCCTTCTGAACCCCTCGCTGTGTAGCCCTCTACCTACTTTTGCAGACCTCCTTATCCCCGCAGTGGAATAGTCCCAAGCCCCAGGTTCACCTAACCCTACCTCTGAGCAGGCTTGGATGCGGAGACCAGAAGAACACGCCCTGCAGCCTGCGAAACTTGGGGAGAGTAAGTGTCCAAGGCCAAAGGAGCTGTCCTCCAAAGTGACACAGGAGGACATGAAGGGAGGCCACCCCAAGAGCGGTGGGCTCCTCCATGCGTGCCTTCGGCTGGAGCACGCTTGCATGGCCATGGAGTCTTCCTTAGACTCCACACAGTCTAGGATGCGTCCTCTAAACCCGCGCTTCCTCCTCCCCTCAGGGTCAGCCCTGAGTCCCGGTCTGACAGCTTCTCAGATAGGCTCCCTCTGGCTTTCCTCATCTGGGCATTTCCCCTAACAAGATCGTGGCACTTTTAATCCCCTCTTGGCATCTGCTTCTCAGAGGCCCTGGACTGGCACACGGGGCTATTCAGATGAAATGCCAGCTGTCAGAGAGCTTGGCAAGAGACTCTTTGGAGTCCCACAGAACAACTCAGGAAAGGGGGGCTTCCATGACCCAATGTCCAGCACAGAGGCCCCAGGAGGTGGGCATTCTGAGCCTCCCCACCAGTGTGGGCTGCAGGTGTGTCTTTGAATCTCAGGATCCAGCAGACAGCTGTGGAAATACAAACATACACACAAACATGCACCTCCCTCAGGTGAACATTCATCCTCATAGAGTAAATCCCAAACAGGGAAAAGAAGTGTTTCTTAACTACCTCATTCACTTGCAAGGCAGGTATCTTTTGAGCCAGCATGATTCATTATTACGTAGACCAGGGAGTTATCTTACCCTCATTCCCCCCAACTCCTTGCCCCCTACCTTCAAAACTGGGCCCCTTTGGACTGGCTGGGAATGAGAAAGAGGCCTGTTGCTAAGCAACGGGGAGGGCCGGGGATGCGTTATCCCGGTTCCCCACATGCTAGTCTTAAAGCGCAAATGACAGCGTTGGCCCTGATGGAATCCTACACCTCCCAGTACCCCAGTGGGACGTGCTCTCAGTCCTTCCTGCTAACCACTGTCTTCATGGAGAAATGCCACTCCCGCTCTGGTCCCTGACAACTGCTTCACTACCTCTGTGGTCACCAGACAGCCCGAGTCCTCCACCGTGGGACAGTGTGTGACAATGAGGAGACAGGCTGGCTTCTCTTCCCCCGGCTCTGTCCGGCCCCTCTGTGCTGTGTAGCCTCACCGGGTTCCCAACACTAATGAGTTTATGCACCCAGCAGCATTTGCTCCTCAGACTGGACCTGGAGCCTTCGCCCCTGTACCTGAGTGAAGAGCAGAGTCAACAGATGGTTTTCTTTCTCTTTCTCTTATAGAAAATTTGGAACATTTCAAATATATTATTCTTTTCAGGACTAATATTCCAACAGGAGTCATTCAGATAAATAAAAAGCCTTTGCAGATGCCTGTCTGATTTAGAGGAAGACAGCACATTCCCAGTCACACAACAGAGGGCCCGGTCCTCTGAAAAAAGAGCTCATGTGTGGAGCTGAAAACAGAAACAGCGTTTTCCCTCTAGGAAACAGACTCCCCAGCCTAGGGTTTGAGGTTGACTCTGGAGAAACCCAGGAAGGGTGTGGATTTGGGTTCTGCGTTATTTAGGCCAGAGGGTGAGGCATGTCCTGGCAACTGCGGGCGTTGTGTGAAAATCTGCATTTGGGATGACTGACCCATAACCCCCTTCCTGTACTCAGCGCCCAGGTGCCTGATCCCAGCCGCGTTGAAGGATTCTTTAGGGAAACCCAGTGGGCTGAGAGGAAAGACCTCCTAGTACTGATGCCTGGGGGTTCTTCCACCTGCCAAGACCGAATGCAGCCCCCTCCTTCACAGCTTCCAATGAGCTGGTTAGTGGCACTCTCTTCAATGACAAGCAGCCAAGGGTTATCAGACTTTTGAGTAAAGGCTTTAACATGAAAGAGAAAGATCGAGGCAAACACAGAAAGGAAACCTGGAGTAAGCAGAAGCACAGTAGGGAGTGAAATAAACTTCCAAAACCTTCACCTGCCTTCAGAGAGAAGGGATGGTATTGCAGATGGCAGACAAGAAGCTGGAAAAAGACTCCACACACAAGAAAGAACACTTGGAAATTTAAATAAGAGCAAATAAAATGATCTGAACACAAAGCTAGGAAGATCTCCCAACTTTTTTAAGGAACAATAATAGGAGAGAAAAGGTAAGAAAAGGATAGAACCCGGGCAGGAGATTCAACATTCACAGGATGCTGGAGGTGGCGGCCATGAGAATGTACCGGGCCCACTTACAGCAGCAGCTGCTGAGACCCATCACAGCCTCGGCTCCAAGCCCTCTCTCTGCGGGCTGCTCCTAGTCCCTGAGTACGCAGAGCACCAAGGCAGGCCAGTTCTTGGAAGAGGCAGGCTCTCTGATGGGGCTTCAGCTCCATGATAGCTGACCCCTAGGAGGTGCACCCTCCAGCCCCCCTCCGCCTCGCTCCTTCGCAGGGGTCAGACTTGCTGCCCCAGCCCCCAGCCTCCCTTAGATTCCTCCCCACACTCTCTCACCACCATTTCCCTTAACAAAATCCTCTCATGTTTCCCGGTATCTCCTTCTTGGAGGACCCAGACTAGTACTACAAGTTCCAGAAAGAAAGAACTGGAAGAATAGAAGGGAGAAATTATGGAAGAATGATACACATTTTTAGTTTCTCAGAATTAAAGGCCACAAGTTTCCAAATGGAAAGAGCCCACTTAGAAAACCCCAAATAAAAAATATAAATCACATGAAGGCAATCTCATGAAACTTCAAAACACT